ATATTTGGGTTGAAGTGTTCTGGAACAGTGTTGTAAATACAACTTAACCACTGATTTCTAGTCGTGTCCTCTTTTGGAAGACCAAACAAAGTAGTTTCACTTTCACAACGAAACACAGCGTCACACACGGCGCCCTACAGTGAGCAGAGGCCGGGGGCTAGCGTGAGGAACAGCGGGAGGGTTAGAGTGAGCAGAGGCGTGGATTCGACGAAGGAGCATCCGGAAGGACATGTGATGACCCCGTGCTGGACTCTGCTTTGTCCACGGTGAAAGCCGATCTGGTGATCCACAGCGCAAAGTTGTAGTATTTCCTCAGCAACCAGCACGGATCAGCTCCAGGCATGACGAAGCAGATGTCGTCCTCTTCTAGTTTCGCTTTCACAACGAAGCACACAGCGTCTTCACGACATGGCGGCGGCAGCAACAATACTACAGCGAGACTAAAAGTTACGCCGCCTTTCTTTGCGTGAACATTTGGGTGGCGTTATGCAAATCTTCCCACATAGTGAGGTAGACATGTGGGGGCGTGTTAGAACGAGCTGTTTTAGGTAGGTGTGGCTGACTCTTAACTTTTATAAAGAATATCTGTTTGGATTTGAGACTTTAGTCTTTGCAACTTTACAGATCTTTTTTATGCACCAAGAGCTTGTAACACTCCAAAGAGAAATGAAACATTGAAATAGCATCATATGACCCCTTTAAATAGAAGTATAAGTATGAATTACAGTAGACTTGTCTAAAGCACCGATCATTGTAGCCAATCACAGTCATATCTGTTGAGTAAGAATCCGCTCAAGTGCTAGTGGGAAATGCTGGTATTGTCTCTTTTTTTTTTATTTCAGTCCTGACTGGTTACACTAAGTGTAAGAAGGGTGTGTTGTAGTTTGCATCAGTTTTAAGGTTTGAAAAGCATAGTTATGAATGGATTTGGATGGATCTCTGTGATCTGTCTTTGTTTCGAGATCCTAAGGTTATAGGTGAAGGGAAGACCTGTCCTTCCCGGGCTTGCTGCCAGAGGTGGTGCTCTTGTCCTCCGAGAGGAGTCTGGCACTTGTCCTGGCGTCTTCATCTGATGGAGTTGGACAGTTTAGTTATGTTAGTCTGCCAAGATCCAGTCAAAATGTATAAAACCTTTGTCCATTGTTGCAGTCAGAGACTCATACTCATGGCGTGCCCCAGTGAATGCTGCTCACTACAGTTTTTTGAACAGTATTTCATTTAGTGACTAAAAAAATCAATAATGGGAATTCTAAGAAGTGCATTACAGAATCAGAATTTGGGGGTAAATGTTTTGTTTTTTCCTCTCTGAGATTACAGATTCATCTGCATACATACAGTGCACTCACACAGACCAATATACACTATAGAGCAGGGGTCTCCAACCGGGAGCTACTTTTTACAAAATGAAAGCATATTACACAATACTTAAATCTCTTAAATAATGTATCAGTCCAAACTGTTATACACGGTATTGTTAAAATGTGCTGGAAATGTTAAAAACGTACTGATACACACACTGAAATAATTTTACCAAGTTTTATGACAAAAGCCAGCAAAAATTAGCAGCACTATCCACTTTTTGTTTGCATTAACAATTAAATAAAAACATAAAAAAACTGTCATGAGTCTGGGCCCTGCGTTTCTCCCTCTCTCCTCCAGAGGGCGCCATCTCCCGGACTCCATTCCCCAAACCCCACGCACCTGTTCACCCATTACACTAATTCCCCAAACCCCATACACCTGTTCAGTCATTCACTCATTACACTCACCCTCAGCTGTTCCCCATTGTCACAGACTATATCTTCTCCTCTCACTCATCACTCTGTCTGGCTGTATTGTCAATGTATTCGTATCTGTCATTCCTAGATCTGTTTTGTTTTGCCTTGTTGGCCTTTCTGTTCATTAAAAATAAGTTTTCACCTGCATGTGGACCCAAACCCTGTTTCTCCTTGGTGTTTCGTACCGGGCCGTGACAAAAACGATGACCGTTTTTTCAACTAACAAAAAATAGTCATAACATGTTATCTACTGACATGTACTACATGTTCAAATAAAGTTTTGACCATTTTTTTAAATAAAATTATAACATTTCAGCCTTAAAAATTTTTTTTATAAAAAGTTAGAATGATAAATAAAATGTTCCTATCTGCGCCATAAACAGTTCTACATAAGCTAATGTGCATTCTAAAAATCTCAACACTTCTGATAACAGTTAAGGTAGCCTATTTTCCATGGACCGGTTAAAGGAGTCCTATTATGCTCTTTTACAAAGTCTTGATTTTGTTTTGGGGGTGTACTAGAACAGGCTCTCATGCTAGGTTGTTCGAAAAACACATTATTTTTCACATATTTTACATTATTACAACACCTCTCTCCCCAGTCTGGCATGAACGGCTCGAATAGTTCCTGAATCAAATGAAGGCCTGCCTTCTGAAATGCGAAATATGCTGTGATTGGTTAGCTGGGCCAGTGTGTGCTGTGATCGGTTAGGGGGGTCAGTGTGTGCTGTGATCGGTTAGCTGGGCCGGTGTGTGCTGTGATCGATTAGCTGGGCCAGTGTGTGCTGTGATCGGTTAGGGGGGTCAGTGTGTGCTGTGATCGGTTAGCTGGGCCAGTGTGTGCTGTGATCGGTTAGCTGGGCCGGTGTGTGTTGTGATCGGTTAGTGGGGTCAGTGTGTTTTGTGATTGGTTAGCTGGGCCAGTGTGTGTTGTGATCGGTTAGCTGGGCCGGTGTGTGCTGTGATCAGTTAGTGGGGTCAGTGTGTGTTGTGATCGGTTAGCTGGGCCAGTGTGTGCTGTGATCGGTTAGCTGGGCCGGTGTGTGCTGTGATCAGTTAGTGGGGTCAGTGTGTGTTGTGATCGGTTAGCTGGGCCAGTGTGTGCTGTGATCGGTTAGCTGGGCCGGTGTGTGCTGTGATCAGTTAGTGGGGTCAGTGTGTGTTGTGATCGGTTAGCTGGGCCAGTGTGTGCTGTGATCGGTTAGCTGGGCCGGTGTGTGCTGTGATCAGTTAGTGGGGTCAGTGTGTGTTGTGATCGGTTAGCTGGGCCAGTGTGTGCTGTGATCGGTTAGCTGGGCCGGTGTGTGCTGTGATCAGTTAGTGGGGTCAGTGTGTGTTGTGATCGGTTAGCTGGGCCAGTGTGTGCTGTGATCGGTTAGCTGGGCCGGTGTGTGCTGTGATCAGTTAGTGGGGTCAGTGTGTGTTGTGATCGGTTAGCTGGGCCAGTGTGTGCTGTGATCGGTTAGCTGGGCCGGTGTGTGCTGTGATCAGTTAGTGGGGTCAGTGTGTGTTGTGATCGGTTAGCTGGGCCAGTGTGTGCTGTGATCGGTTAGCTGGGCCGGTGTGTGCTGTGATCAGTTAGTGGGGTCAGTGTGTGTTGTGATCGGTTAGCTGGGCCAGTGTGTGCTGTGATCGGTTAGCTGGGCCGGTGTGTGCTGTGATCAGTTAGTGGGGTCAGTGTGTGTTGTGATCGGTTAGCTGGGCCAGTGTGTGCTGTGATCGGTTAGCTGGGCCGGTGTGTGCTGTGATCAGTTAGTGGGGTCAGTGTGTGTTGTGATCGGTTAGCTGGGCCAGTGTGTGCTGTGATCGGTTAGCTGGGCCGGTGTGTGCTGTGATCAGTTAGTGGGGTCAGTGTGTGTTGTGATCGGTTAGCTGGGTCAGTGTGTGTTGTGATCGGTTAGGGGGGTCAGTGTGTGTTGTGATCAGTTAGCTGGACCAGTGTGTGCTGTGATCAGTTAGCTGGGCCAATGTGTGCTGTGATCAGTTAGGGGGGTCAGTGTGTGTTGTGATCAGTTAGCTGGACCAGTGTGTGCTGTGATCGGTTAGCTGGGCCGGTGTGTGCTGTGATCAGTTAGTGGGGTCAGTGTGTGTTGTGATCGGTTAGTGGGGTCAGTGTGTGCTGTGATCAGTTAGGGGGGTCAGTGTGTGCTGTGATCGGTTAGCCGGGCTGGTGTGTGCTGTGATTGGCAGCACTCGGCGCCTGGTCGGGAAATGTCATGCCCCTTACCATAGCCGCCTGCTGCGAGCTTCAGTGTAAATATTGCATCAAAATCAAATAAATTCGAGAGTGATTTAAACCCGGATGATTGTAACCACTCTAAGTTCATCTGCTTTGGGAAAGCTAGCGTGTCTCCGACATAGTGATAACACTCATTGCCTTTTCTAGTGCAGCTCAACCAGGTCTCGTCCCATTCGTCTGTATTTTTGATATCACAAATCCTGGAAAATATGCGTTGTAATCCAAACGAGTCGTTCATTGTAGTTTTTGAAAAGTGATTTCTGTTAAATAAAGTATCTCATTTTGAATTGGACTTTGAGCTTTGTAACTTTGCAGATCTTTTTTATGCTCAAACAGCAACATTACAGACTAACTAAAGTTGAAAAAGTGAAAAAGCATAATAGAACCCCTTTAAGGTTTACAACAAAAACTTGGTCCGATTTTCGCATTGGTCTGAGCAAAAATATGGCACAGACTGAATGAATTCAATGTAAATCCACAGTTTGACAGCAGGTGGCGCTCATGAACAGCAGAACAGAGCTGTTTCCACGGTAACCTCTGCTTTATTACACATTACACGGAAAGCAAATGCCATCGAAGCTTTTCTGAAGACAGTCGGTTTCCTATTATAAATTCATACAAATAATTCAATCATACAGTACATTCTTTCATATAATTTCCCTCAGCAGTCTGCCTTCAGTCATGTTTTCACACAAAATGAAACTATACTCTGCGTGTTGCGTCTGCGTGAGACTCTTAACTTTGATTAAAGCTGAGCAGTATTTACTGTGAGTTTTTCAAATCACGATAATCAAACACAGGTTTAATGATAATTAAAATATGAAACGGGATCATTATGTCAAAAATGTCAAGTATGTCTCGGCGAGCGACGTGTTGGAGACCCCTGCTATAGAGTAAATCTGCTGGTATCGTCCAGCGCTAATCTGCTAAATGTGATTTTAAGGCAAGAAGATATTCTAAACAAACTGAAGCATGATTGTGTTCATTGTGAAGCTGCTTTGAAACGATGTGTATTGTGAAAGTGCTATCTAAATAACGAGGCCTGCTGGATGTTGTCTGATTTGGTTAGGTTACAGTAATGACGCTCGACTGCAGGAGGCTCTGCGGCAGGACGCGTCTCGTAAGGGATCGGTGGTCAACGTCAACCCTGTCAACACACGGCCCCAGAACGACACGCCAGAGATCCGCAAGTACAAGAAGAGGTTCAATTCAGAGATCTTGTGCGCTGCTCTCTGGGGTGAGTGACCGCAGGGCATGATTCCTGAGCCCAAAGACCAGATTCACCAGCACTCTAACTGTGAATAAAAGCCCAGATTCTGAGGAACTATCGTTCTGTGATATTGATATGCCAGTGCAAATGAGCTTTTGTGTCTTACATGTGCAAAGCATTATTTTGATGAGAAACGCATGTCTCACAGATCCTGATTCATTTACACTATTACATTATATGTCCTAGTTGTATTCTTCTTAAATTAAAGCTGCAGTCAGGAAGTTTTGCCTCTTTGTCTCCATCTCTGTTTGAAACCTGTAATGAAGAATTATCTTCATTTCGTGGGTTGTAAATTTTCACCGGATAATGACATCTGAACGAGTAACAAGTCTGACACTTCTGTTCTGACCAACTGAGGAAAAAGCATTACAATAAATTGCGCTACCAATGGTGATTAAATGTAACGATCGCTTAATTAGCTCATATCAAATCAAACCATGCAAATTATTTTTTCTCAAATTGTTATTGTTAACAACATCAGCACTACGTGTATTAGCGTGTAGATTTCAATTTCTGCACAGTCTAATCTAATTATCACACCATTTGAATTTCATATAAGGAACTATGCTCCCTTCAAACTGGTTGTCTTTAAAATACAAATCTTGTGTAATCCCAGGCTATCTGTAATCAGAAGCACATTTATAACTGGAATATCATTTAATTTCATTCACATGTGTTTCATAAACACATAATCCTTTCTGGATTACAATCCGCCATCAAAATAATAAGTTTAATTATTCAGGCTGCTGTGAGAAAAGGCTATAAACGATCTGCCACCTGCAGTATCCTCACATGTGATAGCCTAGTAGCCGGGACAACTTCTTTATGTTTACAGACATGACGTAATGACGCAGTGCCATGCTCGAATTTCCCATGAATACCTGCCTGTACCACTCAAATTAGAAAACATTATTATAAGCTGACCGTTGTGAATCGGGCTAAAGTAAGGAGATAGTTTCTAACATTGGCTGGTTATGTACTTGCTCAAATATTGAAAAAAGAACAGTAGGCTTTGAACAGTGTCATCTGAACCATCAGCTGGCTGGAGTGTGTTGATGACCCTCTTTAGGCAGCTCTGGCGTGATGTGTTCAGTGGATCAGCTGTGACGTGTGTGTGTGTCTGCAGGAGTGAATCTGCTGGTGGGCACAGAGAGCGGCCTCATGCTGCTGGATCGCAGCGGTCAGGGCAAGGTCTACCCGCTCATCAGCCGCAGACGCTTCCAGCAGATGGACGTTCTGGAGGGACTCAATGTGCTGGTGACCATATCAGGTAACGCCTGGAGGAGGTTTCTGTGTCACGCCGCTGTTGTGTAACATCCTCTGTGTGATCCAGCTCTCTCGCGCACACACACACACACTCACACTCACGCACACCCTCACTCACACTCATGCACACACTCACACGCACACACACTCACACACACGCACACCCATACACACACGCACACACTCAATCAAGCGCACACTCATACACACGCACACACTCACACTCACTCACGCACACTCTCATGCACACACACACTCACACACACACACTCTCATGCACACACACACTCACACACACACACTCAAGCACACACTCACTCACGCACACACTCACACACGCACTCACACTCAAACACACACACACACACACACAAACTCACACTCAAGCACACACTCACTCACACTCAAGCACACACACACACACACACACACTCACTCACACACAAGCAAACACACACACACACTCACTCACTCACTCACATGCACACTAACACTCACACACACACTCACGCACACACACACTCACACACACACACACACTCACGCACAAACACACAAACTCACTCACGCACACTCACTCACGCACACACACTCACAAGCACACACACTCACAAGCACTCACTCACACACACTCACGCACACACTCACACACACGCACATTTACACATGCACACATACACACTCATGCACACACACTCACGCGCACACACACACTCACTCACTCACGCGCACACTCACTCACACGCACGCACACACACACGCTCACACTCACGCACACACACTCCCATGCACACTCACTCACGCACACATTCACACTCACGCACAAACACACAAATTTCACTCACACACACTCACTCACTTACTCATACACACACACAAGCACACACTAACACGCCCACACACACACTCTCACACACGTACACACTCTCACACACGCACACTCTTACACTCACTCACGTAAACTCTCATGCACACTCACTCACTCATACACACTCACACTCAAACACACACACTCACTCACTCACACACACACACGCACACTCACACACACGCACACACACTCACGCACACACATACACTCACACTCACTCAAGCACACACACACACACACACTCATTCACGCTCACACTCACTCACACACACGCACACACACTCACGCACACTCATTCACTCACACACTCATGCACACTCACACTCACTCACGCACACTCTCATGCACACTCACTCACGCACACACTCATGCACACTCACTCACGCACACACTCACACAAACACACTCACTCACACACACTCAAGCACACACTCACACACACATGCACACTCACGCACAGACTCATTCACGCACACATTCACTCACTCACACACACTCACACTCACTCACGCACTCACACACGCACACACACACACACTCACTCACTCACACTCAAGCGCACACACACACACACACACCCACACTCATTCACACTCACTCACACTCAAGCACACACACCCACTCACACACATGCTCACTCACTCACGCACACTCTCATGCACACTCACTCACGCACACACTCACACACACGCACACACACACACTCACTCACACTCAAGCACATGCACACACACTCACGCACACACTCACTCACACAGACACACACTCACGCACGCACTCACTCACGCACACTCTCATGCACACACGCACACACTCACTCTCTCGCACACACTCACGCACACACTCACGCACGCACACACACTCACTCACTCACACTCAAGCAAACACTCTCTCACACGCACACTAACACTCACACGCACACTAACACTCTCACGCACACACACACTCACGCACACACACACACAAACACACACACGCACACACACTCACAAGCACTCACTCACACACACTCACGCACACACTCACTCAAGCACACACGCACACATTCACACATGCACACACACACTCACGCACACACTAACACGCCCACACACACACACACTCACGCACAAACACACAAACTCACACACTCACACTCTCACGCACACACACTGACTCACACACACTCTCACACTCACTCACGCAAACTCTCATGCACAATCACTCACTCACACACACACTCACTCACACACACGCACACTCACACTCACTCACGCACACATTCACACTCACGCACAAACACACAAATTTCACTCACACACACTCACTCACTTACTCATACACACACACAAGCACACACTAACACGCCCACACACACACTCTCACACACGTACACACTCTCACACACGCACACTCTTACACTCACTCACGTAAACTCTCATGCACACTCACTCACTCATACACACTCACACTCAAACACACACACTCACTCACTCACACACACACACGCACACTCACACACACGCACACTCACTCACGCACACACATACACTCACACTCACTCAAGCACACACACACACACACACTCATTCACGCTCACACTCACTCACACACACGCACACACACTCACGCACACTCATTCACTCACACACTCATGCACACTCACACTCACTCACGCACACTCTCACACACTCACACGCACTTACACTCACTCCCACTCAAGCACACACACGCACTCAAACTCACACTCAAGCACACACTCACTCACACTCACTCACACTCAAGCACACACACACTCACTCACACACACGCTCACACTCACTCACGCACACACACACACTCGCTCACACTCACACGCACACACACACACTCGCTCACACTCACACTCAAGCACACACACGCACGCACACACTCACTCACTCACACAGACGCACACTCACGCACACACTCACTCACCCTCGCACACTCTCATACACACTCACTCATGCAGACACACACACAAACTCACACACACACACACTCAAGCACACACGCACACACTGACACTCTCGCACACACTCATTCACGCACACACTCACGCACACTCACTCACGCACACTCAAGCAAACACTCACACACTCACTCACACGCACACTAACACTCACTCACTCACACACACACACTCTCACGCACACACATTCACGCACACACTCATGCACTCACTCACACACACTCACGCACACACTCACACTCACACACACAAGCACACACTAACACGCCCACACACTCACGCAAACACGCACACACACACACACTCACGCACAAACTCACTCACGCACACACTCACTCACGCACACTCACTCACACACATGCACACTCACACACACTCACGCACACACTCATTCACGCACACATTCACACGCACACACACACACACTCTCATGCACACATTCACACTCACACACACAAGCACACACTAACACGCCCACACACTCACGCAAACACGCACACACACACACACTCACGCACAAACTCACTCACGCACACACTCACTCACGCACACTCACTCACACACATGCACACTCACACACACTCACGCACACACTCATTCACGCACACATTCACACGCACACACACACACACTCTCATGCACACATTCACACTCACACACACAAGCACACACTAACACGCCCACACACTCACGCAAACACGCACACACACACACACTCACGCACACACTCATTCACGCACACATTCACACGCACACACACACACTCTCATGCACACATTCACACTCACACACACACGCACACACTCACACGCACACACACACACACTCTCATGCACACATTCACACTCACACACACACGCACACACTCACACGCACACACACACACACTCTCATGCACACATTCACACTCACACACACAAGCACACACTAACACGCCCACACACTCACGCAAACACGCACACACACACACACTCACGCACAAACTCACTCACGCACACACTCACTCACTCACGCACACACTCACACGCACACTCACTCACACACTCTCTCACTCGCACACTCACGCACACACTCACACTCTCACTCACGCACACACTCACTCACGCACACTCACACTCACTCACGCACACTCGCACACACTCACACTCACTCACACTCAAGCACACACATGCACTCACACTCACTCACACTCAAGCACACACACGCACTCACACTCAAGCACACAAACGCACTCACACTCACACATGCTCACACTCACTCACGCACTCTCATGCACACTCACTCACGCACACACGCGCACACAAACACACTCACACACACTCCCGCACACACTCACTCACTCACAGACGCACACTCGCGCACACACTCACTCACTCACGCACACTCTCATGCACACTCACTCACGCACACACTCACACACGCATATACACTCGCACACAAATTCACACACACACACTCAAGCACACACGCACACTCACACTCACTCACGCACACACTCACACTCTCTCGCACACACTCATTCACGCACACACTCATGCACACTCACTCACGCACACTCAAGCAAACACTCACACACTCACTCACTCACTCACACGCACACTAACACTCACTCACACACACACACACTCTCACGCACACACACACACATTCACGCACACACTCATGCACACACACACTCACGCACACTCACACTCAAGCACACTCACGCACACACTCACTCACACAGACGCACACTTGCGCACACACTCACTCACGCACACACTCACACACGCACACACACTCACACACAAATTCACACACTCACTCACGCTCACACTCTCGCACACACTCATGCACACTCACTCACGCACACTCAAGCAAACACTCACACACTCACTCACTCACTCACACGCACACTAACACTCACCCACACACACACACACTCACGCACACACTCACTCACACAGACGCACACTTGCGCACACACTCACTCACGCACACACTCACACACGCACACACACTCACACACAAATTCACACACTCACACTCACACTCAAGCACACACGCACACTCACACTCACTCACGCACACACTCACTCACACTCTCGCACACACTCATGCACACTCACTCACGCACACTCACACTCACTCACGCACACTCACACTCACTCACGCACACTCACACTCACTCACGCACACTCACACTCACTCACGCACACTCACACTCACTCACGCACACTCACACTCACTCACGCACACTCACACTCACTCACGCACACTCACACTCACTCACGCACACTCACACTCACTCACGCACACTCACACTCACTCACGCACACTCACACTCACTCACGCACACTCACACTCACTCACGCACACTCACACTCACTCACGCACACTCACACTCACTCACGCACACTCACACTCACTCACGCACACTCACACACGCACACACACGCACACTCACACAAACACACTCACTCACACACACACTCAAGCACACACTCACGCACACACTCATTCACGCACCCATTCACTCACTCACACGCACACTCACTCACGCACACGCACATACTCACACTCCCTCACACTCAAGCACACACACGCACTCACACTCAAGCACACACACGCACTCACACTCACATTCAAGCACACACACACTCACTCACACTCACACTCACTCAAGCACACACACACTCACTCACACACATGCTCACACTCACTCACGCACTCTCATGCACACTCACTCACGCACACACACACACACGCACACACACACTCACACTCGCTCACACTCACACTCAAGCACACTCACACACACTCACGCACACACTCACTCACTCACACAGACGCACACTCTCATGCACACTCACTCACGCACAAACTCACACGCACACACACTCACACACAAATTCACACACACACACACTCACACTCAAGCACACACTCACACTCTCTCGCACACACTCATTCACGCACACACTCCACACACACACACTCACGCACACACACACTCACTCACACTCAAGCACACACATGCACACACTCACACACACACACTCACTCACACACACACTCAAGCACACACTCACACACACACGCACACACTCATTCACGCACACATTCACTCACACTCACTCACGCACACTCACACACGCACACACTCACTCACACTCAAGCACACACACACACACACACTCATTCACAGTCGCTCACTCTCACTCACACACACGCTCACACTCACTCACTCACACTCACGCACACTCACTCACGCACACACACACACACACTCACTCACACTCACACTCACACACACACACACACACACACACTCATTCACAGTCGCTCACTCTCACTCACACACACGCTCACACTCACTCACTCACACTCACGCACACTCACTCACGCACACACTCACACACGCACACACACACACACACGCACTCACACTCAAGCACACACTCAAGCACACACTCACGCACACACTCACTCACTCACACAGACGCACACACTCACACTCACACTCTCATGCACACTCACACACACACTCACACACGCACACACACAAATTCACACACACACTCACACTCAAGCACACACGCACACTCACTCACACACACACTCACACACACACTCACTCACGCACACACTCACACTCTCTCGCACACACTCTCTCACACACACGCACACTTACATTCACTCACGCACACACTCACACTCACACACGCATTCCGATAATTCTCCCGTAATATTGGGCATAACTCGCAAGAATCAGCAAACACTTCCAAAACTAACTGTTGTGGCTTGACTGTACTGTACACACAACACAGAGCAAAAACATGTAAAGCAACCCAAAACAGCTCGTGGAAACCACAGCGGCTCTCATCAGCTGGACCAGAAGAGCAAGAGAACTCTTGAGAGTACTTCTCTTTGTTTTTTTGTAGGGAAGAAGAATAAATTGCGTGTGTACTATCTGTCCTGGCTGAGGAACAAGATCCTCCATAATGACCCTGAGGTGGAGAAGAAGCAGGGCTGGACCACCGTAGGAGACCTTGAGGGCTGTGTGCACTACAACGTCGGTGCGTGGTCATATCTCTTCATATCATATCATAGCTGTGCTATTTCTGCTCCTTACTCAGGTGTTGATCTGATCGTCTGTTGCTGTGTTTGGTCTGTAGTGAAGTACGAGAGGATCAAGTTCTTGGTTCTGGCCCTGAAGAATTCAGTCGAGGTGTACGCCTGGGCTCCCAAACCCTACCATAAGTTCATGGCTTTCAAGGTAAATAAGCTGACATGAGCGTGAGTGCTGTTCTGAGCTGTCTCGCTCTTCACCGCACACTTCTGAGGATGCCACTTAGAGCCTAGACTAACAGTGAGCATGAGAAAACATATGAAATGATTCAGTGTAGTCTGTTTATAGGGTTGGTTAAATACAGAAGCTGCATGGAGTTCCACGGTCTGCAGTTATTGCTTAAATGACACCCAGCGCAGTGACTTCACGTCATTTGTTCTGTGCATTAGAACATGTGGCATTCATGAGAACATGTTTATGTGTGTTTGCAACCATTATTCTGGTGGAAATTTTGCAACATAAGTGTGCAACTTCTGCTCACACAGTTGCTAGTGAATGAGAGCCAGTGTTAGCATGTATTCTTTTTAATTTGATAAAAATTGTTCATTTAGGGATTTGGGGGACTTGGTCTTCCAGGTATGAAATCGTCTGCATTAATTGTTCATGAGGTTTTATGCTATGAGTGAGGTTTTCCAGAGACCAGGGCCCGGTTGCATGAAAGTCCTTAAGTAATTTGACTTAGGAGTATCCCTGAGGGGAAAAAGTTCCCGGAGGTAAGGGATTTCTTTAAAAATGAGCGTTGCAACAAACGTCTTAACTGTCACCCTTACCTAAGTGTTTATACTAAGCGTTTCACTGTAGTTTCTGACCACATACGGCAATGGGCGCCGCGGTTACTATAGTTACCACATCTGACAATAAACGTAGATATGACAATAAACAGAACATAACTAAATACAAACCTAACCAACTAAAACACGAACAAACATTAAATAAACATGAGCGCTGCCCGTTTCTGCGCTGCTTTGAGTACAGTCGTTGCCAAGGAAACCGCTTTGTTTCTGCAGTGAAAGCGCCTCCTGCTGACTAATGACGGAAAATTGACCAAATGTGAAAACTGACGCTGCAAACACGCAGGGTTGTAAATGTGAACAGGTGGATCGACAAGAAGATAATGCATTATAACAATCTAAACAATTAAGACAAACATTTCATTTATATTGTTATTTAATTAATGTAATAATTGATTAATAATAATTGTTTAAATTAGTATAATAATTGATACAACTCTCACAACTTTTTGTTTTGTGAAAACTTGTAAGTCATGCTTTTTACAGTCATTTTGCAGTCCTACTGTGCTCATATGATATTTTATTTCTGCAGGTCTTAAAAAATATCTTAAGACTTACATTTGAGTTTAAAAAACCTGCAGATACTGAGTTTAAGATGACTTGAGGGAGCTGTTTTGGTCCCTTAAAGGGGTCATAGGATGCTACATGCACTTTTACAAGTAGTTTGAACTTAAATGTGTGTTGGCAGTGTGTGTACACAACCACCCTATAATGATAAAAATCCACCCAGTGCTTTTTTAAAAATGTCAAGAGCCGCTGAAGACACAGTGGATTACATTGTTTCTGAAGGGAATGCGCCTCCGATCTACATAAATGCGTCTATGTTCGCGCGAATCATTCGTGATCCAGCTTCACCTCCAGAAGAAGTGAGTGTAAGGTTTTGTAATGAATCTTTGCAAATCGCCTTTCCTAATAATGTGCTAATTAGCAAGTTTCACGATGAATGCGGCTAAAGTAAACCGTCTCTCTGAGAGCAGCTCGGAAGAGAGGGGCGGGGGCAGCAGAGCTCATTAACATTTAAAGGGAAATGCTACAAAAACGGCTTGATCTGAAAAGAGCTGATTTTGACAGGGTAAAAAAGGGGTTTTTACACTACCACTGAGAAATTTTAACCAAACTATGTTATAGACTTTTCTTTAAGACCCTAAAGAATCATATCAACTTGTGGAAAATGGGCATCCGATGACCCCTTTAAATTTATTAAGGAGAAATGGTTACTAAGGACTTTGTAGCAACGCTTAAGGGAACACTTCGATAATTAAGGGGAATACTTAATGGCAGCCTTAAGTTGACCCTTAGGATTTTTCTTGCAACCCAAGTTTCACTAAGGGTTCCCTTAACCTTATAACTAAGGGATTTCTTAGCTTGAGGGCTTTCCTGCAGCCGGGCCCAGCACTCCTCGTTTGAGGAAGTTAGCGTGCAATGACTTTAACATAAACTACACAGAGGCACAATATCACTGCAGTCACTTTCAGAGCGATTGTTCCAGCTGATAAATGATGAAAACATTGTCAGAATCCAGCTGACTATAAGGAGCCTGAGCGCGCTTCATGATAAACACATCAAGCTAATGTAGTTATGGTTCTAGTTCTCGTTCCGGGTGTGAATGGGCCTCATAGCTGAGTGGATAACCGGAGGCGTTTTCCTCTCTGTGTGGCAGTCCTTCGGTGATCTGGTGCACAAGCCGCTGCTGGTTGACCTCACGGTTGAAGAAGGCCAAAGGTTAAAGGTCATCTACGGGTCCTGCTCTGGCTTTCATGCCGTGGATGTGGACTCGGGAGCCGTCTACGACATCTATCTGCCGACTCACGTATGTAGAGCTGGAGAAGAGCATTGAGCTTGTTCATCTGAGCTGTGCTCCTGACCCTTCACCTTCTCTCTCTCCATTGCTTCTAGATCCAGAGCAGCATCCAGTCACACGCCATCATCATCCTGCCCAACACGGACGGCATCGAGCTGCTGGTGTGCTACGAGGACGAGGGCGTGTATGTCAACACCTACGGCCGCATCACTAAAGACGTGGTGCTGCAGTGGGGCGAGATGCCCACCTCCGTCGGTGCGTTCCTGCAGTCCTGTGTTATTAGCCAACAGCTGCCAGTCAGAGTCCAGCTGCAGCAGTCGTTGTACTTGAGCTGCACTGCGTTACGTGAAGTCACACATCTCTTCTGTCAGAGCATGCTCAACACAGGCCAGCTGCTGTAGGCTTGATCCAAACCACCTGTGACCAGTGTAATGATTTCCATGTTTGTCAGATTCTGGGAAAGTAAAGTACACGTGATGGATTGGCACAGCGGTTCAGTGCAGAGTCAGGTTGCTCATTTCAGACACAACATAAAACAACAACACAGATACTGTAATGCACAGGAAGCAAAGGTGGGTCACAGCAGCCGCTGTAAAGTAAGAGTTCAGCCTAGCCGTTAACATCCTACATATAGAAAACTCTGTATATATACTTTCTCTCTTCTGACTGTCTGACTGATCATCTGTCTCTAAACTAGGGCTGGACGATATCGCCAACATTCATATCACAATATAGTTCTTAATTTCGGTCGATACGATATAATTCCGATATCGATATGAACAGCATTTATCTGAAATAGAAATCTTTTGTAACATTATAAATGCCTTTATCATCACTTTTGATCCATTTTAAGCATCCTTGCAAAATAAAAGTAGTAATTTCTATCATTTCTTTCCCCCCCAAAAAAAATGATACTGACTCCAAGCATTTGAATGGAAAAGCGTATGTTACAAAAGCTTTTTATTTCAGATAAATGCTGATCTTTGGATCTTTCTATTCATCAAAGAATCCTGAAAATTTGTTTTAAACATTGATAATAATCAGAAATGTTTCTCGAGCAGCAGATCAGCATATTATACTGATTTCTGAAGATCATGAGACACTGAAGACTGGAGGAATGATGCTGAAAATACAGCTGCGCATCACAGAAATACATTACAGTTTAACACATATTCACATAGAACACAGCTGCTTTAAATTGTAAAAATGTTTCAACATTTGACTGTTTTTGCTGTACTTTGGATCAAATAAATGCAGACTTGGTGAGCAGAAGAGAATTCTTTAAAAAAAAATCTTAAAACATTAAAAATCTTACTGTTGAAAAACCTTTGACTGGTAATGTAGGGTGGCTGATTATTGTTATAGATTGAAACAAATGTGCTTCAGCCAGGATAAAGAATATGAAAAGTGCTCTGAGTTGCTGCAGAAAAAATAGAGCACCAATAAAAGCATGTTGCTGGAAATGGGTTTATTATTGAAAATGCGAACTGATTGTCTGCCAGCAGGAGGCGCTGTGAGAGCGGCAGAACTAGCGGTTTCTCCGGTAACGACTGTAATCTCTGCAGCTCCGCTCATGAACGCTACTTTATCAGATAAACATGCCATCTAAACTATTCTGAAAACAGTCGGTTCCCTTCAGAGATACATTCATATAAAACACCCGCGCCGTGTTATAATTGTGAAACGTGCAGTGCCCATGTTTATTCAACGAAGTCAAACGGCACAAATAAATCAATGTATGGGAAACACTGGTAATGTATATCGAAATATCAGAAATGTGTTTAAAAATCATATCACGTTAGTAAAAAAAAAATATTGCGATACATATTGATATTGAATTATTGTCCAGCCCTACTCTAAAGTGTATTTTTCTTCTATTTTGAAAGGTCATGGAATCTGATTTTTAATATATTTTTTTGCAAATTTAAACAAAATTGCATTTATGGACTCCCATATCCACGTAGAAGCTTATCCTACTACTTTACTTCAGTGTAGTATAGTTAGCTCTTGCGTGTGGTTTGCTTTGAACCCTGTATTGTGCTGTGACTGGGAGCTTCTTTATGTGGTAACTTACTGAGCTATTGTATAGGCAGCTCAAATGGCCAATACTGCTGTTAGGGCTCAGGCAGGTAACCCATTGTGCACTGATTTTCTTCTCCTTACTTCTGCCATGAGAGTTAATGGGAGTCAGAGATGATCTTCTCAGTCGCTGACACACCGTCTGAACTCCAGAGTTTAAGTTTTAAGGATCTAGCAGTGACTTTGGACTTCATTAAAATGATTTTCGAGACATGTAGAGCTTGTAGAGAGCCCCGCTGCTGACAGAATGACTGAATGAGCTCAGTATCTCAACATGAAGCAGCTGCGCAATATCACGTTCATAATCAAAGGCCATTCATCTGTGATTATGAACGTGATATTGTGTAGCTTGTCAGTGAGCTACAGCTCTGTGTAGTAAACGCCGCTCCATCTGAAAGCACGTGCTGGAGATTTACTACTAATCACAGAACCGCTTTACTGATGAGATACACATGACTATCACATCACAGCCCTAACTCCAAATAAAGTTTATATCAGTAAGTCTCAAGTGATATGTAAGTAAATATATGAATAGATTTGAACTATACTTAGTTTGAAATAAATGTTTTTAAAATACAGTACTCTTTTACTAGGGTAAATATGCCATATGTCATGCCATAGCATCATTAAACTAAAATCTAACAATGGACAAAAGTGTTTTGACTCCATAAAGGCTGCTGTGTAATAGCTTATAAAGAATCAAGGGGAAGCATTTTAATAATGCTGAATGCAGAATCGAATCGCATCAGATGTAATTGTGAATTAAACTGTGAAGCCACTGCACCATTGAGCTGCTCCTGGCTTGTAGCCCACATCTGCTCAGTGTTTAATCTCTTCTGGGGCTTGATCCCGTGACGGTCCCCACGCTCCGAAGCGCCTCAGTCTGCAGGTGTGGTCATGAACCAAGCCGGACACAGTCAGACTGCTGACTGCGCTTTCTTTTGGAGACATTTCTGCTCAAAACGCACTCCTGCTAAATGATGCCCTCGTGTTTTTATGTTGTAATATCTGTTTAATGCATCTGTTACAGCACTCGATCAGTCAGTAGACCCAGCCAATGAGACTGAATGTAGCCTAGCTTGACCTATGCGTGTGTGATTGTGTTTGTGTGTCTTGCAGCGTATATCCGCTCTAACCAGATCATGGGCTGGGGAGAGAAGGCCATAGAGATCCGCTCGGTGGAAACGGGCCACCTGGATGGAGTTTTCATGCACAAAAGAGCACAGCGACTCAAGTTTCTGTGTGAGAGGAATGACAAGGTGCGCTTTTGGAGGCTCTTTTACTGTCAAATCAGTTCATGGGCTTTACCTGTGCGATGCGTAAAGATGAAAAATATTTCTGAAATTTCTATTATTATCTTGAATTACTGAATGATGGAGATGTATTAATTCCATGTTTAACAGTAATACGAGTCTGATGGGAACCGTCATTCAGAATAACATCGGTCAAACGTGATCTGTTATAACCATGTAAAAAAGTGTAAATGTGCTTGTTTCTGTGTTCTGCTGTTGGTGTGAATGATGGCTCTTGAGAGGTTCTGTGAGATACTCTGAAGACTGGGTGACACTCTGTGTGTTCTGCAGGTGTTCTTCGCCTCGGTGCGCTCCGGCGGCTCCAGTCAGGTGTACTTCATGACGCTGGGACGCACCTCTCTGCTCAGCTGGTGAAGAAGCGTCGGGGTTCTGGCCGCTGGAGGACTGACAAACACACTGATGATGCAGCCTGCTGCATGAGGGACGGCTCGAGTGTCTACAGTATTATTGCTAGTCTGTGTAAATGTCTTTCTCTAGAGTTTAATCAAACCTGACTCCGCTGAGAGGAGCGCTGCTGTCGTGTCTCTCGCTCACACAATGGTGAAACGCTCAATGGCTTTGTTTTGTCATGTATTTTTTATTTATGGCTTGTATTTATTTCTAGGGTTTTGTTTTTGTGAGCAGTAATGTGGAGGGTTCCTGAGAGCTGGCTCTGTGTGGAGCGTCTGATGAAGTGCACCGCTGCGTCAGCTTCAGTTCTGCTTCTCATCAAACACAAGGATTCAGATCAATTACTCTCTGTTGCCTCTCTTTCATCATCTTGTCTGCTCTCACGCCGCCTCTTCTCTTCTTTTCCTTTTTAGTCACTTATCCTCTTATCTTATCCTCTTTTTCTTCTGCCATGTGTCAGATGACCGTGGCCTTGTTCCTGTTGTTTGAATTGTGCTTCAGAATGACGAGTGAAGGAGTTTAAATCAGGCTGTTTAACGAGCATCTCCACTGCCTCCAAACCTCGAACCTGACCGTCATTATGTTTTGAGAAACCGAGAGTGAAAGTAGTTCTGCCATTTCATGCATTGGACCTGGAAACTGAATCTGAACTGTCCACTCAACGTCCAGACCACAAACCAGTCATAAAACTGACATTTGAATCGTTTTGTACGTTTTTTCGTGCGCTTGACCAATGAGTTTTGGAGATTCGTGGATTTCATCACCATCACAAACGGAGGAGTAAAGATGGCCGTGATGAAACGCTACCTTCAGTCGGATGTGAAAGACCATCTTGGTCATGGACTGTGATTATGAGGAGTTGAACCTGAACTGTGTTTATTTAATGAAAGGCAGGACTGAGGAAAGAAGCAATTGAACCAAATGAAAGAGATGAGCGTGCACGAGTCCAGAGACGCTTCTGCTGCCCCTGCTTTTGTTCTGTCTTCTCTTCCTGTTTTTAAAGTTTACACAGACACACACACACACACACACACTCTCTTCTGCTGACTGCAGTGAATCTGCTGGATGATGTCTGTTATGATTACTGGAGGTATTTTCTCTGTTTAGTTCACCTCTCCACACACACACTATAGGTTTACATGTTCTATAAGTTCTATATTTATGTTTCTTGTATTATTTAGCATTAGATCATTTTAAGAACTTTCAGTGAGATTTGTCATAAGAAGAAGGTGAATCAGGCCAAAGGCAAACTCTAAGAGTGAAGCGAACATGTTTAGAAAAGCCACGAAATGAAAGCTGCTTTAACTTTGAGAGTTTCTCAGTCCTTCACACAGTTAAACACAGCTAGCGATTGTGATGTTTCAGTTCTTGCCCTGATCTAGTGACCTGAAGTAAATTCAGCTGGAAAAAACAAGCAAGGTTTTGTAAATCTAATGTTCATTACTGCGTTTTATTTGAAGTTTTTTTTATCATAGTTTCAGCCATAATTCTTGTTGATTAACGGGTGATAATGATCCGGATGGTGTTTCCTCAGCGCTGCTTTGGCTTTCTGAAGCTGGTTGTCTGTTTTCAGTCGTGGCACTGTACTGTATGTCCTCTCTCTCTCTCTCTCTCTCTCTCTATATATAGACAGGACGTCCTGTATTTTCCTGATGGTCCTTTCTTTGGAAATAAAGTGGGTTTACTATAAGGAGTGATGCCTGTGTGTCATGTAAATGATGTTTCTTCACTCTGCTGTCTGTTGTTAGGAAAGCTGCAGAAGAGGAAGGCCAGTGTTGAACTTCAGATAGAGAGGAATGACAAACGAAGCCTACTGGAGACAGATTTCTGTTTTCTGTTCAATAGCCCTAAGCACTGTAAGATTTTGAGAATCTCAGACACTGATAACTGTTAAGCGGAGCCATTTGTCTGGACCGGAGGAGGGCCACAGTCTGAAGAGACAAAGAACTCTTAGGAGAATCAGCATCTGAACACTGTCTAACAAGCCTCACAGCCTCATTCAACACAACACACCCAACTGAGAGAGACAACAGTTTCACACCTTATGAACGATTACACTAGAGATCACCGAAACCACTGTTAGTCAGACTAACAATGCAACTGTTCGTGTTTGATGTCATTGGAGAGGTCTCTGGGTGTCTGGTAAAAGGTCTCATTCTCTTAACAATAGAACAGCCAACAGACTACTCCCAGTGTCTCATGCAAACTACCTTCTGTCCCAAACGGTGTTAACTCTACTCGATCAATGCAAATTCCAATTATTAGTCCCTGTCTCCATTCCCTGTCTGGATGTCTGTGTTGGAAGAAGCTCGGGGTCTTCTGTAGCCGGAATGAGCCTGCGGTATAAAGCGTGTTCACGCGCGTCATACTATGTGTTTGTCTCAAGTATGCATCTTACTCTTAGATTCATCTTTGAGATTTTGGTATCTTTGAATTGGCTATGTAATTGGCATAATACATATTCACCTGACTAATAATAAATTGTTATATTTGTTTTCATTCTGAGATCATTGACTCTGATTAATTGTGCTAAGTCTATAACACTGCAAATCTGCGCTCAGGTTAGCAACAGACTAAACTGATGTTTCAGAGCTCCGGCTAACACATTGGCACTAGTTATGTATATTTAGACTGTAGAGGCTATTGGGTTTTTCCGTTTAGAGCAACAGTGTGTTGTTGACCAACCTACATTTGGGTCAGCCTCAACCTCTGGTTATTGCCAAATTATTCTAACTAAGTGTACGTGAGAAATCACAGCATGATTATATAAAGTTACTTAGAAGTTAAGTTGGTCAACTTGGTTCTATAATAACAGTCATGACCTCGGGTTAGATATAGTCTTACCTTAATTAAGTGTTTACAGATCTATGGGGACTAATACAAGTATTCTAGAATGAGCAAAGTATGGCCCGGGCCATCCAGAATATTATCAATCGCCTCTGTCTAATGACCGAGACTGACGAGTTCCGGCCGGTACCAGACTCAATGTGTTATAGGAATACGATTAATGAGATTCAATACGATTAAAGAGTGAAACAATAATCAAATGCCAGAATAATAATAATAATTGTAACGGGACTGACGAGACGTGAGACGTGTGGATCCATCTGCAAGCTTTTATTTCAGAGACGTGGTATAACCGGCAGGGTCGAACAATGGCAAACAGGTATATGGCGGGCAAAACACAAGAATAGTCCTAGGGCTAGCGTAGGTCACCGATCGGCAGACAGAATCACAGGGGCGAGACTAGAGGAATAAATCCAGGAAAACAGGCAAGGCAAGGAAACACGGGCAGGATAACAGAAACTAGGAATAATAACAGGCTAAGCAATACTTGGCAGAGAATGGTTGTTTGAGTGAGTGTTATATAGTGAGTGAGTGATATGAAACAGCTGTATGCAATCAGTGCAATGAATGATGGGATATGTAGTCCGGGGTGATACGCAACAGTGTGTAGTGCGAGAGTCAATGAAAATGGAAAGGGTGACCTCTGATGGCTAGCAGACGGTAGTTCATGGACAAGATTCGTGACAAATAATAATTAGAAATGAACAAACAACCAACTGGCATTTCAACCTAAATTTGAGTTTTAGGCACCATTGGATGCCTTCCTTGGGCCAGTGGCGTGGACCTTACAGCATGGACCTCACAAGTGTCTTGTTGGAAGAGCAAGATCTCACAGCATTCTGCGCTCGTGAAGATCAGATGCTCTGCAGCTGCTGATACTTTTCATATAAATCTGCAAGATCTCTGGGAGAATGAATCATCTTCATTCGCAACATTCTGAAAACTGACATTTTACAATCTTACAGTCTTATGGTGAATCGTACGATTTTACTGAATCCTTTCCCTCACAATTGCTCATTTCTTCATTTACTAGACACTTATCTAAAGTAATGCAGCAGCTAAAGTGATTCGTGACCGCAAGGCACGAGTACCATGAGAAATACAGCTTCTAGAGACTGCTCTGCTCATCACTCTTGCAGTATATACAGCATATGTGCTACATCTGAACTTTCTCCTCCTGCGTTCTTAACATTATTAATAGAGTGACACTCGGAATATTTTGTTGAATGAATATCTGAACATGAACTATGCCAAAAGAAAGAACAGGGCCTCTGCTTTTAAACAAAAAACATTCTATTCTAGCTTTTTTTGTTTGTTTATTTGATTTCATAATCAAGACTTGAATGTGGGTAAGCTGAGAAAATCACATTTTTGTAAGACTATGTCCGGATCAGATTCAGATCGATGATCAGAAGTGGATTGCTCCCATCAGGATGTTTGATGATCACATTATTTGACATATTCATTTGCTCACATACCCTCCTGACTACCAGCTGGAGTTTTGTGGTTTAGTGATTTCTCTGAGACGTTACATGCCACAGTTGTAAGTCTGGATGTTCTGTGCAGAGCACATTCAGGGCTTTTCAGAGACACCAAATGATTGGATGTTATACCGTGACCACTCCCTCTCTTTGGTCTTTAAAAATGGCTGACATTCATTTAGTGATCTAGTGTAACACTCTAATGGAAATATGATAATATTTTGTAATTATCATTTAAATCTGACTAATTGACCAATTGTTTGTCATAAATCAACATCTCAGGAAAATGTCATGGGGTTTCAAATCAAAATATGAGCTTCTGTTATGAAACTGGACGTTGATTTCATACATGTCCACTGTAGCGGACACCAGGACTTAAAGCATGTTTATTACACATTTTGGGAGACACAACAAATGAATAGAGAAAAAATTATGTATCAATATTCCTATTAAATATCAGATATTATTATGAAAATCTTGCTAATTATTACTCCCATTATTGCACTTATTTGTTCATTCTATGTTGCCTCAAAAACACATTAATATGCAAATTAGATACAGTTTATAGATACATTGTATATAATGGAAAAACTCGTTTATGGCCATTTTACACACATTTTGCATAAAGAAAAAAGGGTTTTAAAAATATCTTTCATAACATAGTTGAGAATCATCTTTATATAAAGTTTGGTATAAAAAAAAATTTGATTTGTGATTAAAACAAAAATTACACTGTTTTAGCCTTTTCATGTATATTCATGTCTTTTTATTTCTTATAAAAAAACAGGACTTTTTAAAGTCCCAATGTTTTCTACAGAGGACATGGCATAACATATGAATAAAATATAATTTTTCAAATGTTTTTCTTATGCTCTAAACCAGGGGTGCCCAACCCTGCTCCTGGCGATGGACTGTCCTGCAAAGTTCAGCTCCACTAAACAATGTAATGACATGAGAAAATACTAAATTCTGGTAGTCAGGAGGATACGCAACCGCTTGTTTCTGCTGCTTCTTCACAGCCAGACGTTCAGTTCTCTCTCAGAAGATGATCTGTGTATCAGATCAGATCTTTACAATGTAATGACATGAGAAAATACTAAATTCTGGTAGTCAGGAGGATACGCAATCGCTTGTTTCTGCTGCTTCTTCACAGCCAGACGTTCAGTTCTCTCTCAGAAGATGATCTGTGTATCAGATCAGATCTTTGTGTACACACACACACACTCAAGTTTATTTGTGAACTGTTAAGAGCAGTAGTTCATTAGGAGTGGTTGAATACTATAAGGACAGTGTGGCAGAATTGAGGAGCAGAACTGTAGTTCATGTCCTGCACAGTGACGCTTCACTATGTGAGTAAATATGAGTGTTTAGTGGTCAAAACTAACCACACAGATGGGGCAAGAAGACTGTGACCTTTCTTTTGGAAGAAATCCCAGCACATGCAATCTCGTCTCGGCTCAAGTACCCAAGAGTATATTACACTCGTGTGAGGTTACAGCATCAGAAAATAACTGATGACAGGACACGTGACTAATGCCATATGTGTTCATGAATCATCTTTAATAGAGAGTGCTGCTGTTAAGAATGACTGAACATCACTGAGTTATGTAGATGTTAATTAAAGGGAACATGGGAAGTACCGCCATCATACTTCAGTCACTGTGAATCTCAAGTAACACATCTGTGCGCGCGTGTGTGTGTGTGTGTGTATAAACATATATATAGAGCAGCGGTGGCGAACTCCGGTCCTGGAGAGCCACAGCCCTGCAGAGTTCAGCTCTAACCCTAATTAAAACTCACCTGCCTGTAGCGTCCTAATAACCGTTCAGACCTTGATTAGCTTGTTCAGGTGTGTTTGAGTAGGGTTGAAGCTCGCCAGGACCGACGTTCGCCACCCCTGATATAGAGCATTTGGATGTAATAATGTGTTTGATTTCATTGCTTTTAGGTTAGGAATCTGATGACATTTGAAGTTGCATTTTTCTTATATACTGCTCCAAAAAAATGAAAGGAACACTTTTTAATCAGAGTATAGCATCAAGTCAGTTAACCCTCTGGGGTCTGAGGGGGTTTTGGGGCCCTG